CAGGTCACATTTAAAATGTAATGTGAACGTTCACACAAAAAGATCGGATTTTTTCAAAAAATCGGAACTTAGCATTAAGACCTGCAGTGTGAACGTAGCCAGAGATGCAGTTAAGACTGTAAAGCGGCAAGAAATTCAAGGCTGCTTGTCCCAAAACAATTGTGTTTATCTTTCGGATCCCAGTAACTGCTGGCATTGGTCGGTCGGTAGTTTCAAAACTTCCCTGGATGATATGTCAACAAAGGATTGATTCCCCACTCCCTATCCCTGTATAATCCGCAAGGATCAGTCTGAAGGCTGTGGTGACGGAGAAAGGGGAAACTCTGAACTCTGTGAACTGAGCATCGGAGGATAAGATCTGGTCTCTGGACTCTGTGGGTCCTGGTCTTGGATTGGTTCCAGCATAGAGTATTCAATTGGAACGTCACCAGCTCCACTGAATCCTGCCCCTGTACCATGTGTTTGATCCCCAGCCCCCTCCCCTCCCCAGCTACCTTGCGAGTCGTTTTTGTGTGCATATGTGTATATGAGTAAATATAGGATCAGAGAAATTTTTTTTAACTCACCTATCCTGTTGTGTTTTTTTTCCAAACTAAAAAAGGTAGCATGATAGTTCTGATTCTGATTCATTGTCAGATCTGACTTTCTGGGTAAAATCAAACTCCTGGAAATTTTGAAAGCTGTCCTAAATGTTTATATTTATGAATAAGCTTTCTTTTAGTAGAATTATAAACTCCAAGTAGTTTGGAAATGACCTTAGGTAATCCCAAATTGATGGGCAGTTGCTTCTCTAAGGTCATTGCTGATGCCTTTCTACCTTGGTGTTGTGTTAACGCACACCCATATGCTCCAGATTAGCAAACTGACAAAACCCCTGCTAATCTGATGGTGGTCCCACTGATGATGATTGGTTAATCAATACATCCATTGTTTTAATTCATGTGATAGCAATAAATATAGAACTGTTTTTCCACAGACCACATCTACATTTTAGCATCAGAAAAGGAGAGATGTACCTCAGCTTTTTGTTGAACCTGTAGAGCGCTCTGATGAGTCTTCTGGAGGGAGTTGGCATGGAAGAGAGACTAGAAGAGAAAAGAGCTGGTTACTATCAGTTCCATGTTTATCATTTATCATTAGATCAATACAGGTTTTTTTTAGTTCAGGTGTTGCTGGTGGCATGTATTACAAGTTTGTTTTTTGGATAAAAAATGCAGACTGTTTCACAGAGTTGCATCTGCACAATTGTGTATTCAATCAAGTAACCAAAGTTGTACTAAATCATACTGATGTTGAATGCAGGACATACACGATGCTGAGAAAACACATGCACCTTCATGAATTTCTATACTTATTAGGAGAATATTTTGACTTTCATTCATTTCTGTAACCTAACCTCAACCTTAACCCAAAAAGGACATTTCACTCTATTAGCACAGGTCTTTTTTCCACATGAAAGAAAATGTCCTACAATATGGACAAAAATCAAATACTTCCACACAGGAAGGGAACAAAAACCACAAATTACAAATTGTGTGGATACTTGGCTTTTTCACTTTTTATGACCTTTTCTGTTTTAATCATCTATTTTGTTGAGACTTCTTCTACGATTCAAAGCAGATATTTTATGTTTATCACTGGGCTAMAACTGTTGGAGACCAGTTTATGACTCAAAATTGTAGTGAACTGCCAAAAAAAAAAGGCAGATTTTAAATTTCAGTCACACTGGACCGTGTCTGCAACCAATCGACTAACAAACCGTGGCTGCATTTTGAATGATTAGTTTTTGAAAATTACCACTTATTTTTGTGTGCTGGATTTGCAATTCTAGCCCAGGGGTGGGCAATCCTGGTCCTCGAGGGCCGCTGTCTTACATGTTTTACTTGTTTCTCTGATTCAAATCAGCTGATTCACTATTGAACTCTCTTCTCAAGTTCTGCCTACACTTGCTAATCACCCATTCATTCAAATCAGGTGTGCTGGAACAGAGAAGCCTCACAACATGCAGGCCTTCRAGGACCAGGATTGCTCTACCCTGTATAGAGCCAATTATCGGGTAAGACAACTGTCAGAAATATTGTATGTGTAAGAGTCTAAATTTGTATATGTAAGTCTATAAACGTACATAAATTTGTTACAACTTTGCCACATTACAAGTACCAATCAAATTTACAAG